TAGGGGCTGGCATCAGTGGGGAGCAGCTGCTGGGGGTCAGAGGTTTCCAAGGCCTAACCTAGGAGGAGCTTGGCAGCCCTGGGAGACTGGGACCCCAGCATGTGTCACTCCTCCCAGGAGGCTCTGGTCAGTGGGAGGAGGGGCCATCAGGAAAGGAGCTCAGTGGTGCAGAGCTGCCACAGAGCAGGTCTCGGTCAGAATTGCTGCTGCTCCTGTTCTCCCACTGTGACCCACTGTGCACCTTCTGTGCCCTCCATCACTGGTTCTGTCTGAGCATACCCTTCCACAGGCCTTCTGTGGTTCTCGGTCCTGCTGTGTGACTGAGCCAAGCCCCTCCGTGGCCTCCTGCATGTGGCTCATACCCAAGGCTCAGGCCTGATGAAGGAGCCTGGACTCCAAGAATGTGACTCTATACACCACCCCCAACACCATCCCCATGAGTGCCAACCTACTCTTTGGCATGCCTCAGCAGCACAGGCCTTGCAGGGTCATCCAGGAGACTCCCCTTCCGTGAGGAGGGCTTCTCTGCCCAGTGTCTGGTGCCTCTGACCCATCTTACCAGCCCCATTTCTCTCTGACAACCAGCTCAGATGTCTGTTCCCCATGCCCAACTGTCCAAGAGGACCTCTTGGCCTCCATGGTCTGATGCACGTAGCAAACACTTTCAGTGGTGGGATAGTCCAACTGCCCTGTAACTCACCCTGTCCAAGACCCTTTAGGCATCGTTACTTCCCTCATATCGTGAGTGGGAAATCAAGGTGCAGGTCTGGCTACGAGTTGAAGGTCCCTGGGCTGACAGTGTAGTGTCCTGATCTCTGACCTCTGCACTGTGTGGACAAGCCCTGCCAGCCTCCATCCTTGATCCTTGCTTGGGTCCCATTTTGCAGATGGAGAAGCAGAATTCCAAGGAGCCAGGCATGGCTACCACTGGCTGGAGGCAGATGAGATCCTTTTCACGTGCTGGTCTTCCTGCCCTAGTGGGTCCTGGCCTTGCCACCCCCAGTGGCCCCCATATGTTTTGGGCTCTGTGCAGGCCCAGGAGTGAGTGACAGAGATGTCCCACCAGGAGTCCTCCCTTTGGCCTCCCCATGCCAGGAGCCAGGAAGTAGCTTATTTCTTGCTGTGGTGGCATCTGGGCCACCAGGAGTCTGCTGGAGGGAAGCTGGGCATTTGGTCACAAGCTGAGGTAACTGGTAGGTCAGAAGCAGTAGCGCAAGGTGCCAGGGTGGGCTCTGTGCTGTGGGTTGGACAAGCCACCACAGGACACCTGCCAGAACCATGGATTGGAGGTGGTGGCTGTCACATGGACAGAGAGCCTGGAGGCTCGGAGATGGACCTGGGTGTGTAGAGGAGGCAGCGGGGATGGAGCCCTTCAGGGGAGGAGGAGCTGGGGGCCTGCAGGGTCCTGAGGGAACGGATCCCCCAAGGAAGCATACATCCCTCCCGGGGAGCAGGGCTGGACCCAGCTTGCTTAGGGTGTGACATCTAGCAGCCCCAGGAGATCAGGGAGATTGGCAAGGGAGGGTCTTAGGGTGGATGCCCCCAGAGTGTGCTCACTGCACCCCAGCCTCTAAAATCACATCTGGGAAGCACAATACCACTGGTAGTGGATGCTCCTTAGACTCTCAATGCCTGGTTGAAGGTGCCCCGGCCCTGCGCAGGCACACTGCCCTGGACTTCTCTTGGCAGCCACAGCTGTGGGCACTGGGCCTTCCTAGATGCCAAATTCTAGTTTATAGCTTAATTTTAACAGTGTAACCAGCCTCGCTCACTTTATGGCTATAACGTGCACTGTAGCCCTAGAACCTTCTCCATCCACATGGAAGTGGCAGTGCCTGACCTATCCTGTGACCCTGGTCAGACTGCCCCAGTGTCTACCTTGGGACCAGGGGTTCAGCCTGGGTGGCCACCTGTCACCTCCCTGGAGCCTAGTGGGAGAAGAGTGGCAGGAAGTACAGCTGAGGCCCACACCCGTGGGACCAGCAGGGGAGAACCCTCTCCTGGCGGGCCCTGGCTTTTGACTCCTACACTATTCTGTTCCCGGGGTCCCTCCCCTGATGCTCCATCCTGTCCCTTGTCTCCTTGCTCCCCACAACCCCCTGCTGCTTGGGGCCCCTGTGGGCACAGCTCAGGCTGCAGGACCCCGTCATGCAGGGAAACACACTGCTGCTCTGGAATCTTGTGGACAGGGAGGATACCCCGTCTATCTGGGGGCCTGGCACGCCCACCTTGGGCTTTAGTTTCTCCTGGGGTAGATGTGGAGAACAGGCAAAGGCCTGGCTCGGCCCAGGTCCTGCTCTCAGATCTGCCAGAGCATCCTGCCCCACATCTCCTCTGCTGGCCAGAAAAGGCTGCCCCCTCTGGTGAGGCCCGCTGCTCTGTCCTCCACGGGCCTGTATATGCTTCCTCTCCAAAGGGAGCATCTTCCCCCACTCCCTGCTCAGAGTGCTGGGGGCCAGGCCATGATGTGCTGGATGGACCAGCATGTGAGGGCAGTTCTCAGAGGCACAGGTGAGGGTGGCCGACTCAGTAAGGTACCTCCTGGGTCCCAAGGCTGGCTCTTTTTGTTGACAGGGAACATGAGGTCTGGGGGTCCCGGGGGAGGGGACAGGCGTGCCCAAGTCCATCTGGCTGCACCCTGTGGGGTCTGGCCTCCACAACTGCTGTGGCTGCCCTCATAAGGACTGCCATCAACAGGCATGCCCAGGAGAAACCAAAGCCCTCCAGGGCCAGTCAGAGATTGTCTGAGCCTGTACTGGGCATGTGCTGGGTGGAGATGCCTAGCCCCGCACGGCAGGAGCCTGGTCGGGGTGAGAACCAAAGGGCCGGCTTGGTTCCCATTGCACCAGCAGACAGCATCTCATCCACTGTGTGGTGTGCAGGCCAGCTCGAGACGTGGTTTGGGTCGCTTCACTGCCCACAGGGCTCGCTGCAACCTGCAGGGGCCTGCAATGCCTTGTCAGCCAGGGAGCAAGGTAGGAAACGTTCCCCAGGGCCCACATGGACCCTGCCACCTGCCTGTCTGCCCCAGTCCCAAGCTGGGAAGGTGGCATCTGCCCCAAGTCTCTCCATAGCCCAGAGGGCCTCCTGGGCCTGTTGGTCCTGATGTGTGAACCTGTGGGGAGGTGATAGGTTTCAGGCCTCACCTGGTGGCCATCACTCAAGGAGAGAGGGAGCAGTTGGCCAGGGACCAGTGGGGCACCCATGGGATGGGGGAGGCTGTGTGCAGGCAGCAGGTGCTGGAGGGGGTGAGGCAGGCGCAGGTGGAAGGCAGTGGAGCCAGTGAGAGGCTCCAGCCAGCTGACTGGAGCAGCCTGCAGCGTGGGGCGGTGGATGGGTGCGCATGGGCCCCTCGCCTGCCCAGATGGCGGCATTGCTTCACCCTGCCGAGCCAGTGTAGGCCTGTTGTGGCCTCTCTAGGGGGTTCCACCAAGGTGATGGTATGTCTGTGGCAGGGTGCCCAGAACAGCTGGTGCTCAGTGTAAGGGTGCCCAAGCACCGTATGGTACAGGCTCACAGTGTCTGTGATAGGCCCCTGAGGCAGAGGATTCACGTGGCTGGGCACTCCTGGGACATCCAGAGAAGGCAGGTCCACTGAGACTGGAAGCAGACTGGTGTTGGTTAACTGGCACGCTGTTTCTTTTAAGGGATGAATCTTCTGGAACCAGGTAGAGGCACACGCCCTGAGTACACTGAAACCTCTGCACGTGTGCTTCCCGAGGCTCACTCACAGCAGGTGCCCCGCCCTCAGTAAGCGTGGCCTTAGCTGTGCCAAGCAGGTGATCTCCAAGGCCAGGCGGTGGGGGTCCCTGCACAGTCCACCCAACCTGTGGCCTTCACATCCTCTTCCATCTACCACAGACCACTTGTTCTTTGAGGGGAGTTGTTGAGTTTTAAATACAGCCTTCTCAGAGGGATGGGAATGTGATGTGCTCCTGGCTACCTCCCGGCTAACCTCCCGTGTCCTCCCATGCTGAGTGGGCAGGGTTCCCACAGGGGTGTCTACCTAGTGGACTGAGCTGCAGGCAGAGCACCCCTGCCCACCTCTCCAGGCAGAGGCTGTGACACAGTCACGGATCCCATGTGGGCATGATAGCGGGTGTGGTGGGTGGGTGCGTGGGGGGAGAGGCAGTTACAGCGAACAGCGCCCACGAAGTGTGACTGGGCCAGGGAAGAGTGGCCATGGCAGCAAGTGTCCCAGTTCACCATCAGGCAGGTGGTCCCCTTGTAACGGAGGGCTGTGGTCTTTTGGAAACCCTTCCACTGACTGGATGAGGACCTCCACCTATGGATCATGATGTGCCCTACCCGTAGGTTATGATTAAATGTTAATCTCATCAGCAGTACCTGCTTGGTGGCATCTAGACTGGCGTTTGACCCAATGTCCAGGTCTCAAGACTTAGCCAAGTCAACATGAAAATGCCACCACCGTGGTTCCAACCAGGAACCAGGGAACCACCGTGTTGAGGTCGTGGACGGTGGAGGTCATGTGGGCTTCATTAGGGATTCTGGCTGCCCCTCCGGATAGGTGAAAGTGAGTGAGTCTGTGCCCTCCTGGTGCCAGTCTCACCGTATGGTGTGTGTACTTCTGACTGGTGAATGGGGTTCGCTTTCTGGCAGCCTTGTTCTTCTCCAGCGGTAACTGGGTATCTACCTCTGGTTGCACTGCCGCAGGGCCCAGCAGCAAGCGCAGGCCATGAACTCGCAGGCAGGCATGCCCCCCACTTCCTGTCGCTTTCCCTTTTCTCTTGTCTTCCTTTTTGGTCCTGTTTTCCTTTACCTGCCCTACATTGCCGTTACATGTGTGCTGCGTGGAACCTTATGTACAGCCCATGTGCAGGGAAGTGGCTGTCAGAAACCCCCGCAGCGGTGGGAGCTGGCGTGCTGCAGGCAGGCAGCCAGCAGGGGGTCCCGGCCAGTGGTGTTGGCCCCGGGGGCCCCAGATCTCTGCGGGTGTGCAAGGAGGCCGCGTGGAGCTGTGGAAACAGGCTCCAAGGGGGACAGAGGTTTGTCTGGGGGCGATTCTGTCCCCAGGGAACACTGGCCATGTTTGGAGACACTGTGAGTTGTTGAAACAGTGGCGAGCTGGATGGCTCCATATCATGCAGTGGGTAGGACAGCCCTGGAACATCACAGGCTGAGTCCGAGGGGCCTGGGTGGCAGCAGCCTGGGCATTCCCAGCCATCTCTGCTGCACAGCACCCGCCAGGCTGTTCGTGGGCACTGCATCCCCAGGCAGCAGATTGCTGAGATAACTCACCTCCCTTTGTGCACCTTCCAGTGGGCTCCAGTGTATTCAGACTCATAGCCAGCCCAGGTCAGCCTCACCCCGCTCCCCTCTGCTTCCTGTCTGAGGGTGTGCCTGTCCTGGGTGCCTCCCGTACGTGGGATTGTGGTGCATGACCTTTGGGTCTGGCTTCTTTCACCCATAGTAGCATTTCTGAGGCTCATTGGTGTCACCGTACATGGGCACATTATTCCTTGTTAGGCTGAGTAACATTCAGGGTGTGCACATGCCACATGCTGTCTATCTGTCCACCAGTGGGTGGGCTGATTCCACCTTTGGCTGTGAGCTGCCTGCACCCTAGTGTGGACATGTGTTCTTGTTCCTCCGGAGGGCATGCTGAAAGGGGCCCTGCTGGGACAGAGGTGACTGCAGAACCATGGAAGAGCTGCCCCGCCAGCTGTCCATCCATGGAAGAGCTACTCCCAACCCTTCTACAGATGAAGAAAGCCTGTGTCCAAGCAGACTGACACTTACCCCACACACCTTATTGCCTGGGGCCCTCTCCTCCACAGCCACCCCGTGTGCCACGGCAGGCCAGGGCTCTCAAGTCCCTGCTGGGTGGCCACCAGGGTGGGCCAGTCACACCTTCCTTCCCCTGGCAGATCAACCAGAACGTGGAGGTTCAGCGGGGCCGCCTGAGGGATGACATCAAGGAGTACAAGTTCCGGGAGGCACGCCTGCTACAGGATTACTCGGAGCTAGAGGAGGAGAACATTGGCCTGCAGAAGCAGGTGTCCCTGCTCAGGCAGAACCAGGTGAGTATAGGGCGTGGTCCTTGCCATCTGCCACCACCTTGCGTGGCGTCTCTGTGATTAGGAAGTCCTCCATACCCCCAAACTAAGGGCCTGGCCCCTCTAGCCTCGCAAAACAAGGCTGTAGTGTCAGCTGACCCTTGGCCTGGCCAGGGTGTCCCAGCAGCAGAAATGAAACACAATGCAGAAGATGGTGACAAGGTGACACCGAAAGCCCCAGAGGCCGGGCCTCCAGCTCCACCCCCTCAGGTGCCAGCAGGAGGCCCAAGACTACTGTGGCCCGTGGGACCCTGCAGCTCCTGCTGCTCCCCTTGCCCCACTTCCTCAGGTTTGCCAGTCCCCTTTGTTCCTGTGGCCCCAGGCCTCAGGGTAACCCTCCAGGTGAAGCTGTGCAGGCCTTGAGCAGTTTGGAGGTCACAGCCCCACGCCCTCGGGGAAGCCCAGCAATGGGGGGTATGAGGAGGGACCCTCCACCCCATGATGGGGCAGGGGCAGGAGGGCCCCCATGATGGCACACCAGGGGTCCTGGGCACACGGCCCCTCGAGGCCTGCCCTGCCACTGACCTCTGCAACAGCTTTGCAGGGCAGCACCGGGGCCCTTCCCAGGAGCCCCCTCAGTGCGTGGGCCCTGCACCAGGGACAGCAGAACTGCCGTGGGTGCAGCCAGCATAGAGCCACTCAGGATGCAGCCCAGGAGCTCCTCCTCTGGCTGCATAGCAGGCCCGCCAAGGAACGGTGCTCATCAGCACCACCATCACACATAGGTGTCCTGAGGGAAGCTGAGGCCATGGGCAGCTCGTGGTGGGGCCTGAGGGGTTCTCCCTGGCACTCTGCTCCCCTGGCACAACCCAGAGACCTGCTCAGTCCTCACCTGCAAAGTTTGGCAGGTGCGACTCTGGATTCTGCCCCCCACTCCCATTGGGTGTCTTGGATCTAGTGCCGTCTCCGTGAGTGCCTCGGGCTGTTTGTCTTGGAATATGATTGGAAAGGTCGTAGCATACGTCCAGATTCATGTTTCATGTGTCCTAAGATATTTAGTAACTGTTGTTACTTCAGTGGTTTGTAGAAGTTGGTACACAGGTGGTGGTGGCACCCCGAGTAACCTAACACACTGGCAGCGTGGAGGGGCCGCTCTCACTCCCATGCCGTGTGCAGCTCTGAGCAGTCTCACACCTTGGGGCAGAGCATGTCCTGTATGTCCGCCTCTACCTGGGATGTATGTCCCCATGGCTCAGTCTCAACAGAGCATTTCCCTCTCTGTGTCAGGTGGAGTTTGAGGGCCTCAAGCATGAAATCAAGCGACTGGAGGAGGAGGCTGAGTACCTCAACAGCCAGCTGGAAGATGCCATCCGGCTCAAGGAAATCTCGGAGCGGCAGCTGGAGGAGGCACTGGAGACGGTGAAGACTGAGCGGGAGCAGAAAGCAAGCCTGCGCAAGGAGCTGTCCAACTACATGAGCATCAACGACTCGCTCTACACCAGCCACCTGCACATCTCCCTGGACAGCCTCAAGCTCGGCGACGACGCAGAGGCCCTGGCCAATGGCTTTGAGCATGGTGGCTTGGCCAAGTTGCCACTAGATAACACGACCTCCACACCCACTAAGGATGGCCTCTCTCCCCCCTCACCCAGCCTCGTGTCCGACCTCCTCAGCGAGCTGAACATTTCTGAGATCCAGAAGCTGAAGCAGCAGCTGATGCAGGTGAGCGGCAGGCAGGGACCCCACCCCCAGGGGTCTCATTGCAGCCCTGTGCTGGGCCCATGCACACCGTCTGTACCTCCACTCTGGTCCCGTGTGGCATTGGCTGGCTTCCAGGACAGCGCTTGCCCAGCTGGCACCTTGCTGATGCCACGTACCTTGCTTGCATCTTGATCCCTGTGATGTTGCCAGAAGTGGTGGGACTGTGGCGTTACAGACGGAAGTCCCAGGGTGTAGGTTCCTGACCATGAAGGTTGGGAGGTTTGGGCCTGCCCCAGGTTTGCTCATGCCCCTCCACAGAGCCCGCACAGTCTCCGTGCTTTGTCCTGAGGACAGGGCACATCTGGGTTTCTGCCCTGGACTGAACAGCACCCTAGGGTCTGTGCTGCAGCCTCTTGGTTTGCTGTGCATCTCTGAGGAGAGGCCCCCAAGCCTCTGGGTATCATAACACCCCCCCACCTGTGTCACACACATACCAGCAGTGTGATGGCTGTGGTGTGGGTGGGGCTCGCTGATGGGACACTCAAGTGGTCCTCCATGGGTCAGGCTACTAACGGGCCCTTTCTGTGCCTCTGCAGGTGGAGCGCGAAAAGGTGGGTCTGCTGGCGACACTGCAGGACACACAGAAGCAGCTGGAGCAGGCGCGGGGGTCCCTGTCAGAGCAGCAAGAGGAGGTGAGCCGCCTCACTGAGAACCTGAGTGCTCTGCGGCGCCTGCAGGCTAGCAAGGAGCGGCGGGCAGCCCTGGACAGCGAGAAGGAACTCGACAGCCATGAGGATGGTGACTACTATGAGGTGGACATCGACGGGCCTGAGATCCTGGCCTGCAAGTACCGTGTGGCCCTGGCAGAGGCTGGCGAGCTCCGGGAGCAGCTGAAGGCCCTACACAGCGCACATGAGGCTGGCGAGGCCCAGCATGCAAAGGAGAAGGACCAGCTCGAGGCTGAAAACCGAGCACTCACCGAGAAGGTCGCCCTGCTGGAGAAGGCTAGTCGCCAGGACCGGGAGCTGCTGACCCGGCTGCAGATGGAGCTGAAGAAGGTGAGCGACATTGCAGGTGAGACCCAAGGCAGTCTGAGCGTGGCCCAGGATGAGCTGGTGACCTTCAGCGAGGAGTTGGCCAACCTCTACCACCACGTGTGCATGTGCAACAACGAGACACCTACCCGCGTCATGCTGGACTACTACCGCGAGGGCCCAGCTGGTGCCGACCACAGCAGCCCTGAGGCCCGCGGGCGCCACTCACCTGTGCTGCCCAAGGGGCTGCCAGCTACAGAGGGCGGAGCGGGGGACAGCAGCTCCTCACCCAGCTCCACGCTGCCTTCGCCCCTGAATGATCCGCGGCGGGAGCCCATGAACATCTACAACCTTATAGCCATCATCCGCGACCAGATCCGGCACCTGCAGGCAGCCGTGGACCGCAGCACGGAGCTGTCGCGGCAGCGCCTGGCCTCGCAGGAGCTGGGCCCCGCCGTGGACAAGGACCGGGAGGCGCTCATGGAGGAGATCCTCAAGCTGAAGTCTCTGCTCAGCACTAAGCGGGAGCAGATCACCACACTGCGCACAGTGCTGAAGGCCAACAAGCAGGTGTGGGTGCCTCCCCAACCCGGGCCTGGGGGTGGGGGCACCCAAGCCCACCAAGGCCTCCGGGGGCAAAGGCATCTCGCTCCACCTGGGCCCCTGGGGGCAGGTGTCTCGCCCCACCTGGCTCGCCCCACCTACCCCCGTGTCTCTGTCCCCAGACGGCCGAGGTGGCCCTCGCCAACCTGAAGAGCAAGTACGAGAACGAGAAGGCCATGGTGACCGAGACGATGATGAAGCTGCGCAACGAGCTCAAGGCCCTCAAGGAGGACGCGGCCACCTTCTCCTCACTGCGCGCCATGTTCGCCACCAGGTGCGTGGGGCCCGGCACTGACAGACAGGGACTGTGTCCAAAGCTTGCAGGCAGGTGGCAGGTCCAGCTTCCTGGGTAGGGCTCCCAGTGCCCCACCTGCCCCCGCCAGTTGGCCAGTGGGTGGCAGCTCTTTCCTGCCTGAGGGCTGGGCAGAGGCAGGCTGCAGCCAGGATGCCTCTGAGAAAGTGCGTCCCCCGAAGCCTCTGGGAGGCTGCTTTGGGGCCAGTTCTGGATGTTTCCACCATTGAGGGGGTTTTGGTGCCCCCTGCCAGCCAGTCGGGCAGGTACAGGGACTGTCCCTGAGTGGTCCTGCATCCTGGTTAAGGGTGGGATCTGGGCAGTGGGGGAAGAGGGGTGGGGTCGAAGGAGGTGGGTACCAGGCTGCTCCGGAGGCTTCCTTATCCCTGGCAAAGTGCTTGGCAGGGCCTCACTGTCGGTCCTCAGCATTTGGCGTTTGCCTCATTTCCTCAACTCACGTCACAGAAGAGCTGATCTCCTGCGGAGCTCCAGAAGGAGGCCTGGCCAGGGGCTCAGGGAGGGCGTGCTCCTGCCCCTCCACCAGGCTCTGCTCCCTCCCTTAGGGACAGAGCCTGAGAGGGTGGTTCTCTCTCCCAGCTGCACACTGGGTGGGGCACATGTCACAGTTAAGCAGATGCTGAAACAGGGCTGTTGGTGGAATCAGTGCATGCCTTTCCTGGCCACTCGGCACAGTGGCCAAGCAGCTACTGCGTGCACATGCTGGACTGGGACGTGGCTGAGCCTCCCCTGGGGTCACCGCACACCTGAGGGCCAGGTGCCACGTCACGTGCATCCAGCCCCCTACCCCAGGCCACCCGGGGTTGGAGCATGGGCTCACTTCCAGCCTTGTGAGCAAAGGACCCTGTTGAGACCCTGGCCCATAGTGTGGGGGTGCACCTGACATTCAGCCACACATCATCCTCTCGTATCCATGCAGGTGTGACGAGTACATCACACAGCTGGATGAGATGCAGCGACAGCTGGCAGCGGCTGAGGACGAGAAGAAGACACTCAACTCGCTGCTGCGCATGGCCATTCAGCAGAAGCTGGCACTGACACAGCGGCTGGAGCTGCTCGAGCTGGACCATGAGCAGACCCGGCGGGGCCGCGCCAAGGCCACCCCCAAGGCCAAGCCCAGCACCCCGAGTGTAAGTCACACCTGCGCCTGCGCCAGAGACAGGGCTGAGGGTGCCGGGCTTGCTGCCCAGGTGCTCTGCGGTGAGAAATACCATATTTACTGCGATTAGGGCCGCGACTGCAGCCACCCTGCCACATGCACCTGCCTGCTTCACCTCAACTAACCGGCAGCAGCGGGACTGCTGTGCTAGGCTGGCCCTAACCAGGACTAACGCACAGAGGGAAGGATTTAGCCGAGGCAGCAGCTGCTCCACAGGCACTGTGAGCTTGTCTGTCTTCATCTCGGGACCACCTTCGCAGCAGCTGTGCTTTTGCGGCTGGGGTCAAGGTGGGGTCACAACTGTGTGTCCTGCAGAAACAGGCTTTCTGGGGCCTGGGTATTGTCAGCCCCTATGTCAGGGGTCAGAACCTGAACTGAGGCTTGCATGTTCCCCTCATGTGTCTAACCTGTCCACCCTGTGCCTAGAAAACAGGCTCTGGCCCAGGTCCCGGAGCAGCCTCAGAGGACGTGCTGTGCTTGGCAGTTTGCAGTGAGAAATATACTTCGTGGTCTGCGGCATCTTACTGCAAATCATATTCAGGACAAAAGCATAGAGTTCCTTCCCTCAAACCCAGGGAATGCTGTGCAGTGTCCATATCTCCCCACCAGGCTCAGGCACAGGCACGCACTGGGCCTTGATCACACGGGCTCTACAGGGGCATGCCTGGCCACCCCAGACCCAAGCTCAGCGGGCTAGCTCCCCTTTACAGGATGCACTTGAGGGTCTGGTGGCCTGTGTAGTGACAGACTGGTGGGCCTGAGGCCTGGGGTTTTTCATTGAGTAAGACTTCCAGGTGCCTGGCTGACCCCTTCCTTGTGGGAAGCCCAGCTTGTACTTAGGATGTCCTCAGCTTCCAGGGTGGGTTTCTCTGCCCTCTGCCCCTTATCAGGACTTCTTCCCTGGGGCTTCAGACCCCAAGAAAGAGGGCTCTGGATGCCCCCTCCTCCAGCCCAGCCTGAGCCTGAGCTGCCAGTGGGCCAGGCTGAAAGGGGCACCTGCAGCTGCCCTCATGGGCCCAGGGCCAGTTCAGGATTCACCGCAGGAGGAGTGTGGTCCTCTGTCATGCAAGTAGCCACAGGCAGGGGGGACAGCCTAAGGGCCCCCATTCCCAGAGGCTGTGTCCACAGCAGAGCCGTGGCGGCAGGCCTGTGAGTGAGTGCTCTGTCAGTATTCTCTCTTGTCACCCCGTGGGGACCACCAGCACAGGCTGTAGTCTTGGTCCTGTGGGACCCGTTGCCGCATTTCTTCTTGGGCACTCCCATGACAGGGTGCCCCCCTCCACTCTGCCCCGCTCCTGAGTGGCCCCAGTGCCCGTCAGACTCCAGAGGCTACAAACCACCTTGGGTTTAGCAGACTGCCAGTGGGGAGGGAAGGGGGCCGTGCCGTGCGTGCCCCTCTGCATGCCTGTCCCCACGCCGCTGCTTTGCTGATGAGGTCTCAGCTTCCCCTCCCCCAACCTAAGCAGGACTTCTGGGGGCATGGCTGCCTGGCCCTGCATGCCGCACCCCTGCTCTTGTGCTGGCAAGGCGCTCACAAGGCGCCCAGAGCCTGCCCCTAACGCTGTCAACTAGCGTGCCCGGGCCCTCGTCCTCACAGCTGTGCGGGGCTCCGGGTGTCTGGCGGGTGACTGTTCTAATGCTGTGTTGTTTTCTCCTGTTTCCAGCTGTAGAGTAGCTGCCAGGAGGACTTGGCCACCGGCCCTGTCTGCGCCCTCCCTTCCCCTCCCGTGGGCCCACGCGGAGGAAGGAAGGGCGCCTGAAAGTCCACTTAGAAACGCTTTTGGATGTGCCACTGCAATTCTTTTCAAAATAGCATTCCCTGAGTGTTAATGGCAGAGGAAAAAGCTTTAATGTTGAGAATGCTGCCATCTGCTGCTTGAAAAGGCGCTGACAAGTGCTGAAGAACCTGCCTGGACAGGACCTCCAGGCTCGCTTAGGAGCCCACTAGAGGCGTGCAGCTGGGGTCTAGACCCCTACAACGGATACTTCTTATCCAATCAACTTGCGCACTTTTTGATACTTTGATACTCTTTGCTTCCTAGTCCCTCACATAGATGGTCTCCGAGGCTAGGGTCTGTCTTGTGGTCCTGTCGTGCTCCGTCTTAGCTCCCACTGTGTTGATCTGACATCAGCACGTGGCACAGACGTGTCCTCCTAGCGTGTAGCTCTGGACTGTATATACGAAGGCTTGGACCCAGCAAGGAGCTCAGTTAAATGTATGCACGCTGTGGCTCAGCTGCCTTCAGATTATACGGCATTGTGATTCATGTTTGAAATTACAGATTTTAAATGCCATGTTCATTAAGAAATCCAGGGTATTCCAATTCTGGGGTTTTTCATATTGTATTATTATTATTCTTAGGAATAGTTCGACGTAACAAGAAGAAAACTTGACCTTTGCTCTGGTTAAGCAGTAAAAGGCACTTGAGAATAAAAAGAAAAATTATTGAATGAGTAGTATTACCTATAAATTCCAGAATTTTCTGGGTTTTGGGACATTGTAAAGCATGACTGATTAACAGAATTTTATACAACTGTACCAGTGAAATTCCAAATTGGAATTGTGTTGTTACTCTGGTTGTTGTGCCAAATGTGGTACACTTAGGAAACCCTCCAGCCGTTGATGTTGAGGGTGTTCTGCCTCAGCGCCTTTGTTAGAAATCATTGCCAGTAGTGCCTTCATCGGGTAGGGGAGGTGTCCCAGCACAGTGTGTTCTCTTCACCAGCAGTGAGCAGCTGGTTGGGGTGCTGTGTGGCCCAGCAGCTGTGAGAGGGCGCACACCTTCACCCTTGACCCTGGGCATCTCCATTGAGGGAAAGAAACAATTGTGCAAAATTCTGTTAGTCAGTGATTCCTTACCCTGAAGATCCTTGCAAATTCAGGGGCTGAGAAACAAAAATGGACACAAACCTTGAGTGTGCTTTGGGAACCAAATGGACTTTATAGGGCAAGCTAAGCAAGTGGTTTGAACAACATGCCATGTTTGTGGAGAGCGGGATGCAGGGGAGCCGGCACTGTCGGTCTCATGCAGTGGGGTGAGGGCTAGCCATAGTATTCTTTGCAATTGTGAGGAGAGAGAGTATATGTTCTCTTGCTTGGTGTAACTAATCACTGTTGATTTCAGGAAACAGAATTCGCTAAAGCTCTTTAGCAAGCTAGGTCTGTTCCCTGCCCACTTTGCTGAGTGAGGCTATGCGGATAGTCCGATTGGTACCTGCAAAGGAAGGGAGAAAAGGTGTCCTCCTTCCTCCAAAATAAAGGGCAAATTACAATAATACAAGTAACAGGAATGAAAGAATTCTGTTTCCTGGAATAAGCATTTCTTACTCCTAGTTGTAGGGACCTCTATTTTTACCTTCTATTACAGTGTCGATTCACAAGAAATAATGTTACATTTGCCATATCTTCATCTGTATGGGGTATTTATTTGCAATGATGTCTGAGTACTGTATTTTTTTCTGTGCATTATCTTAGCGTCAGAATGTTGTCTTTATTTTAACATCAGTGCATGGTCTCCTGCCAAGGAACCTTTACACAGACCCAAGAAAAACAAAGACGCCTTCCAGAGTCTGAGAAAAGGAGGCAGAGCATAGAAATGAATAGGAAGGAGAAATTATTTGCAACGTGGAACACAGAGAAGTGGTGCAAATGTCCACGAAGCCAGTGCGCATAGGAACAGTGGGCTGGTAAAGAGTCCTGAGGCAGGAACAATGAATAAAGGACAGTGAAAAGCACAAGGCTCTTTCTTGTGGCTGCCCTGGGTGACTGCGGTGCCCTGACCCCGCGCCCGGGTGACTGCGGTGCCCTGACCCCGCCCCCGGGTGACTGCGGTGCCCTGACCCCACCTCTGGGTGACTGTAGTGCCTTGACCCTGCCCAGGGCACTTTGGTGCCCCGACCATGCCCCCAGGTGACTGTGGTGCCCTGACCCCACCCCCCGGGTGACTGTGGTGCTCTGACCCCGCCCAGGTGACTTCAGTGCCCTGCCCCTGCCCCTGGATGACTGCGGTGCCCTGCCCCTGCCCCCTAGTGACTGCGGTACCCTGACCCCACCCCCAGGTGACTGCTGTGCCCTGACTCCGCCCCTGGGTGACTATGGTGCCCAGACCCCACCCCCAGGTGACTGCGGTGCCCTGACCCCACCCGGGGTGTGTGATGGTCATGAGCACTCCTAGGCCTTTTGGGGTGCATTGGCAGTCTCCTGAGTGGGAGGGGTCAGTTGGTGTTGAAAGGCCTCGCATTCAGCCCTCCCTCCCAAGAGGGAGTGTCCCCTTCCCACCCCTCCATGTCCAGGCAGTGGCTTTCACCCAACCTGCACCCTGGCAGGTTACCAGAGCAGAACAACAGCGCCATCTTGGAGATGAGCCTTTGGTTACCCTCTTTGGTGGTTGACTTGTCCTCTCTGAGCCTCAGTTTCCCTCTCTAGGTGAGGGAGGATAGTTTTTTGCTCAAGTCCTGAGAACCCAGCCAGCAGCATGTGTTCAGTGGGTCACTGTTGCTTATGTTGTTCTTGCTGCCATCATGACCACAGTGCAGGATGCCAGGCCATAGAGCTAGGCCTTTGTGCTGTGGGGAGTGTGGTTTTAAATCAACTTCATACCAAAGCATAATCCAGGTAAGTGCACACTTCATAATGTATAGCCAGATGCACATGCTGAAACACCTGTGTAGCCAGCAGCCATTAACCTACCTGGGCCCTTCCCAAGAGTGCTCTTTGGGGCACACATTAACAGGGTGCCCCTGTCTGCCAGCCCTGGGAAGGAACTGGGCTGACTCCTGCCCATGGGGACCTCCCAGGAGAACAGACATTCTGACATGAGCTGACATGGGGCTTTGTCAAGATGGGCTCCCATCAGCCTCTGTGCGCAGAGCCATTTGTGTTTGCTCTGTGTCTACTTACCTCTCAGCTGTATACAAACAGAGCTGGAATGGTGTCTTTCACTTTGTTAGATTTCTGTGGACCAGCACACTAGCTCTTGTGAGTTTACCTTGCTTATCATCCATGACCTGCCTTTGTAAGCCCTAGTCCTTGAGGTGAAGGGGTCTCCCAACACACAGGGCTCCTTCTAGGCAGGAAAAGGCAATGCCATAGTACCTCCCCCACAGAAAAAGTCTGCCTGCATGGATACTGTGAGCACAGCTACTCATGGGCCTCTTCTGGAGGAGAGACAACTGGAATCAGTCACACCCCAGGATCCCTTTTGCTCATCTCTCAAGTAAAGAATCAAGATTTGGCTTATTTACCCTAAAGTGTTTATTAAGCACATACACACATGGATGCAACATGAGTGTCCACTGGCTGGATTTCTGCAACCAAACACTGTGCAGCCACCATCCAGATAAGCAAACAAGGGCAGCCCTTCCAAAGCCCTCATGCTCTGTGTACCTACTTCTTCCAGGGAAAAGTTCCTGAGTCAGTGCAGTCACTTGTGCCTATTTCTGTACTATACATAAATGGAAGCATACAGTGGGGACCCAGAGCTTGATAGACTTACCAAACTGCATTGATTTCTTGCACCATGATCAAGCTATGTATTTATAGGTGTCTTCCTTCAGATTCAAAGATATAAATCAGTTAAATATAAAAGAATGGAAAGAGATATTCCATGCAAACAGCCAGAAGAAAATGAGTGGCTTCAGTAATATCAGACAAAATAGATTTTGAGACAAAAATTGTTATGACAGGAAAAGAACATTATATATATATATATATGATGATAAAAGACTCAATTCTCCAAGAAGAAAATATAACAGTTACAAAAATGTATGCACCAAATTACAGGGCCCAAAATACTTTTAAAAAATTGCCGGAATCAAGAGAAATAGATAGTTCTACAACAATAGTTGGAGGCTTCAATAACCTACATTCAATAATACAATATTATCAACATAACAGAAAGAAAATAGAATACTTGACTAGAGCTATAAGCCAGCTAGACCTGATATATTTGTAGAACACTCCAACCAACAAAAACAATACATTCTTCATTAGTGAATATGTAACATTAACCAGGGTAGACCAAAAAAGAAGTCTGAATAAAGAAGATTGAAATCATTCAAATTATTGTCTAATGACAGTTGAATAAAATTAATGAAATGTGGGAAATTCACAAACGTATGTTAAACAATATACTTCTTAAAAGTTAATGGGTGAAAGATACCAAGAGGGAAGATAGATCTCAAATCAATAGCCTAACTTCTCCCCTTAAGGAGCTAGAAAAGAACAAACTTAGCCCAAAACAAGCAAAGGAAACAAAATAGTAAAGCTTAGGGTGGAGATAATGAGGGGAAAAATGAGGAAAATCAACAAAACCAAAAGTGTTTTCTTTAAAATGATCAGCAAAAATAACCTTTAGTCCAAGAAAAAAGACTACTAAAGTCAGAAATGATCATGGAAAAACTAGTGATTTTACAGAAATACAAAGAATTACAAAATTACTATGAACAATTATACAACAAAAAATTAGATAACCTAAACCCAACACAAACAGAGAGTAGTAAAGATTAGAGCAGAGATTAATGGAATAGAGACACCAGTATAAAAATTCAACAAAACCGAAAGTTTTCTAGGAAAGTTTTGCACATTGACAAACAGCTAGACTGACAAAAACAGATGACTCAACTTACTGAAAAAACTACATATGATGATAATGGAGATGTTATTAAAGACCTTACATAAGTAAAAAGGATTGTAAGACAATATTATAGTGCCAACAAATGAGATAACCTTGATGAGATGGCAAATCAGTAGAATCACACCACCAAAACTTACTCCAAAGGAAATAATTTTAATAGACCTATAACAAGAAATTAGTAATTAAGAAGTCATCACTTTGTTCTAACAAGTAAAAAACTGAAGCTGAAAAACCAATAACCCTCCTTACACCCATAAAAGAAGTGAGATCACAGAGCAAACCACTGTAAGCCAAGGAGACAGATACACAGAATCACAACTTAAGAACAGTTGTAACCAGTACCTGGGCAGGACGCCCTGACCTGGAATTGACAGAGTGCTGGAGGCTCAGTGTGGACAAGACTAAAAGAAAAAACTCCAGTCATAGGGGAACCTTCACCTCCAGGAGGTCTACCAGGTTCTCACAGTGAAGATTGCAGACAAATCCCCTCAGGGGTCCAGCAGCAGAAAAGGAACAAGTATAGCCATTTTGAAATACCCTAGAGCATTCTATTCATGTCCAGGCCTGCCCTCAAGACCGACTATACTATACCATATCCAACCTGGAGGATGGGAAGTGTCCAATTCTGGTCCCCTCTGACCATACTTCACCACTGAAGGGGGTGAAAAGAAATACCATTTGGCTTAATGAAATGAAACATACACACACACTTTTAAGAGACAGAGCAAGCATCAGAACTAGATTTAGATATGACAAGAATGTTCAAATATCAGACCAGGAATTTAAAATAACTTTAATAAGCATATGACATGGCAAAGGTCAATAATGGAAAAGGTAGACAACATGTAAGAATAGAAGGGTAATACAGGCAAAGTCGAAATAATCTAAATTTCAATGCTAGAAATTAAAATATAACAAAGCCTTTGATAGGCTCACTTAGGACATCAAAGAATCTGAGCTTGAGGATATGTCAATAGAAACTTATAAAACTGAAGCACAGAGAGAAAAAACCAGGGGAAAATGGAAAAGAATATCCAAGAAATGTGGAACAATTACAAAAGATGAGAATGCAAGCTGTGAAGTGCTATGGAAGAAGTAAAAATTTTGTTGAAAAATGAAATGGAGCTGCTCTGAGGCACTGTGGAAGAGCTAAAGGCCATGAAGGAGAAGGATGTACCCTTGTGAGGAGCACAAGAGGAAGCACGAGAATGTGAGCTGTGAGGTGCTATGGAGGAGGTAAGGGATTCTTTGCAGAATGAGACAGCAGCTCCGCCAGGTGCTCTGAAGGAGGCAGAGGTCATGGAGGAGAAAGATGTACTCCTGCAAGATGCACAAAAAGAGGCAGCATGGATCAGAGATGGGAAAGCTGGCTTCCCAGACAGTTCATTCTTCCTTAAGGCAGCAATTACAAAATGAACATGAGGCCGCAGAAAAACCACTTCCTCCTCAATTGGCTTATGGCAATGCTTTGTTCTGTATGGCTCAACCAGGGTAATTTGCCATCCTTCCCCATAGATAGCAGATGTATGCTGAGCTTCAACAGGTGTTACGGGAGTTGGCATGAAAAATGCCATTTATAGTCCAGAGACTTATGGCCCAAATGAGGAGGCTTTTACAGCAGGAATGAAAAATGTGCTTCAAATGGCTCCCCCATCCCGTTTTGGGACCCTAGTGGCCAGTCGTGCCCCTCACTTAGGACATCCCATAAGTGAGGTTACTCATATGGTAGCAGACTTTGGAGAGGCTGAAAGAATGAGAGCACCGAAGGAAATAAGGTCTGCTACTCAGAGGATGAATTTAAAGGGCCCCATGAAGGTCATGCGGATCCAGACGGGTTGATATAGTAGGGGCAGAAGCAGAGAGAAATTGGATGAGAAGTCAAGTAAAATCTTACTGGAGCTGTGGCAACAACTGAGACCAGAGCAATGGTTCTGACTGCTGAGGACCAAGAAATGGGTGCCAGAGCCAGAGCCAGAAGTCTGGCCTGTATGGCTGTAAGACTTCCTTGTAGAGAGTGAGCCAACCTCATCTGAACCTGCATGGGAAGATGACTGGGGGATACAGTTTGACCAAAGGGAGGGTTGAGGGACCCACCCTGAG